AAAGGTGCGTCGGTTTCGGCGTACCTTTGGGTGGCGTGCTCGCGGTCGATCTTCGCAAGATAGGAGCAGAGATCGGCAACCGCTACCCCGTCGTCCGTCAACGGAGCTGGTACTGTAGTGTGCAAGTAGRAGCGTAGATTTGCCATCAAGGCGTTGCAATGCGGCCTTGGCAAGGTTCYGGTCGAGGGTAGAGGCATCCAGGCGAAGTCCTCTCTCGTGAGCGGGTCAAACTCCTCAAGTCTTGACCACGGCGTCGAGTCCTCGGAAATCAGTGGCGAACTGACCGGATCACTCGCCGACGGTGTACAGGCTGCGCATACGCAATCTACATGCACGTGGCTAGGGTGGTCTAATGGTGGTACCAGCTGGGCGGCATAATCCTCGTACGTAACACGAGAATCAGCGACTAACGCATGCTCCCCGGTAGTGACATCGATTGCTAGCAAGGCAACCGGGTCCGGCGGAGTGAGGGGAGACGTCGCCCCTCTCCTTGCGTAACTCAGTTTCCCGAGTTGGCTGGACGGGGTACGCGTGCCTTGCCCTTGTCTGGGCATTGTGCGGTAGTGTGTACTACGCTGTTGCACCAAAGGCAGTATGCGTACTTCTGACGTAGGTCATAGACCTCCTTGGTGATCTTATAAGCCATCCATGGCTGCTGCCCAGCTCCCGTCGCCGCTGTCCCTTGTGTCGCCTTATTCTTGCGAACTCTCTTCAGATGCTTCGGCGGGAGCGCTGCGACAATTCCTCCATCACTCGAGGATGTTGTCGCAGCGTGGTGGTCGTCGATTTCTTCAGAAAACACGGCATTGTTATGTGTCGGACGTTGATAGGTCTGCTTAGCCACATAGTGCGGCTGGGATTGTCTCTCGTTAGCGGCCTTGTCGTCCATTTGGATGACCAAGTTCGCTCGATCCAGGATGGCCTGGAATGTGGTATAGTCGTACTCATTACCGAGTGCCGACCGCAATCCCGCGCACGATCGCGAGAAGAACTCGGATCGTTGATTTGGAAACGTCAAGTCGAAACCTGCTGTGGTCACTATCTTTTGCCACTTCGTTGTCCAGTCTCGAGTTGGCATGTTCCCTTGAGAGCATGTGTACACCTCATTCATGGCCGCCTTCACGACGTTGCGGACCATGAACCGGGTGAACCATAGCTGCTCGAACTCCTTCCACGTAATGTGCGTGTGGAGTTCGGCGATAGTGCACTTGTGTGTAGCCGCTAGGTGGTTCATCCATCCCTGCGCTCCTCCAATCAGCTGCAGATATAGTGCCTTCAACATGCCGTCCGCCGGGACCATGCGGCATGATGCTTCCGTGAGGAAGCGTTGCCACCATGACAAGGCGTCCGACTTGTTGTAATCGCGAACTTGCTGATGTCGAAGTGCGGCATCTTGAACGTCTTTGYAGCGGCTTCCGGTCTCGTCTGTAGCTTGGTGAGGTCTGTCTTGATGGAGGCCACCGTGCTGCTGATCAAGTCTGGTCCAGTGAACGTACTTATGTCGCCGATGATGGTGACGACGTGATCGATGCGCTCGTTGAGTTGCTTCGTCACGTCTGTCGTGCAGCCTGGCGCTGTTGAGGTGTTAGCCTCTATGCTGTTGACGCGTGTGATAGTGGAATTCAACAGTTGATGCTGTTGCTGCTGCTGTATTGCCTCTGTGCGGATAGCAGTTGTTAACGTAGTGATATCATTCTTGTATGTTTGTCGCTGTGTCGCATCCGTGCGCAGATGTGACTGCAGCAGTGTATTATTCCATATAATACCTCTCATCATGCCCAGCAGCAAGTTAGCCAGGTTACTTCTCTCTGCCTCCGCCGGTGTCGGGTCTGCCTGCGCTTCTGTAGGCACAAAGATCATGTCTTGGAGTATCGTCGTCCACTGATGCTCACAAGCAATCAAGGACTCCGTGCTGCTGGCATTCCGTCTGTCTCGTGTCGCTGCGTCAGTCTCAGTCGTTCGCTGAGCTTCGGCTGCCGCTTCATTGGCTAGCCGCTGACGTTCTGCCTCTGCTGTCTCCTTCCGGGCCTCGACGGCAACTACGGCTTCTAAAAATGCCAGTAGCCGCCCACGATAATCAGCCGCTGGCTCATTGGCTCCTCGGACTGGGTATGCGGGATGATCTCCCGTGGCGTCTTGTACTGTCAATGCCCTACTTGATGCTGCTGGAGTCGTCCGCCTGCTGAGTTTCTTCGGTCTTGGAGGTACTGCAGGGCGGGCACGAACTGCGATTCTGGCACTGCGTCGTGGCAGTGCCCCGGTGTCCTGTTCCGTCGACATCAGTCTGAACTGATGCGGTACTTGAGAAGTCCCGGTAATCACAGAACACGGGGGGTAGGGAGAGTGGGAACAGGGGTAGAACAATCAACCAATATACATACAATCCCCTGTCCCACTGATGGACTGTAGACACCTAATCAAACGGGAAAAAAATAATTTTCCCATAAACCCTTCGAAAAATTCGTAATAAGGAATTTATAACGATTTAATCAATAAAATTAATTAATAATAATTAACGAAAATAAATCTGAATGATAATCAGTAAACAATGTTTGTAATAAAGATAACCAACTAATGATAATCAGTAAAACAATGTTTGTAAATAAAGATAACCAATTAATAACGAATTTGAAAGGTATTATGATTAGGTCTCTTTGAGATCACTATGAGACCGGGAGTTCTCCGAATAAGTGAACTGCCCGGTAGTTGCAATTTAAGGTCAGATACGGCTTAGTGTGCTTAAAAAA